CTGCTGAAATAGTGCCAGCAACCAGACACAATGAAATGTGTTGTCACCTTAAAGGCAAGGAAGAAGGCATAGTCCAAGGGCTGTGTTCTAGTTGAGGACAGCAGCAGATCACAAGGATTCAAGCAGTTGAGGACAGAAGCAGATCACAAGGATTCAAGCAGTTCATCTGGGAAGTGAAAGAAACAATGGTAGGGGAATGGGGGAAGTGAGAGGAGAAAGGAAGGTAGTCAACAAAGGGTGACATCTTACAGCTCAAGCCCAATGGAAAAGCTCTGGAAGCCCATGCACTAGAAGGATGAGGGAACTGGGGCTGTACACACTGACTCCCATCCATCGCTGCGTGAGGGCTACTGAAGAGGGTGTGGTCATTCCCCATACTCTGGGCCCTCTCTGTGAGTAGTGAAGCAGGCTTCAGCAGGGAGGAAAGAGCTCTCTTGCAGTTTGAAGTCAGACAGGCATGCTGTGAAGTAGTAAGGAAAGAACAGGGGTTCCCAAACCTTATCATGCCGCAGAATCACCAGGACGGCTTGGGAAGACACAGACTGCCAAGCCCCCCCCCCAGAGCTCAGCAGGCGGGGGAGTGGGGGTGGGGGTGGGAGCCTTGACCTGCTGGGCTCCAGCGATCCTTCCACCTCAGCCTTCCGAGTAGCCGGAATTACAGGCATGCACTACCATGCCCGGCTGATTTTTTGATTTATTGTAGAGATGAGGTCTCGCCTGCCCAGGCGGGTCTCGAACCCGTGGGCTCAGGCAATCCACTCACCTCAGCCTCCCAAAGGCTCGGGATTACAGGCTGAGCCACCGAGCCCAGCTATTATTCATATTTCAGCACATTAGTTTTTAAAAAGAAAATCTCAACCTTATTACTCTTAGATCAAAACAGATATCACTGACTCTATTTCAACTGTCTAGTTTACTGAGTTTTGACAATTGTTAATGCGTCAATCACCACACCCTGACAGAATATAGAAAAGTATTCCATCATAATTTCATCAACATTATTTTGACTGCAAGAAGATGGACTAATAAACATTTTTTTAGATGATGGTAGTACAATCTTGTTCATGTTGATTATACAGTGTATACAATTGAAGTTATTGAGCTGAACATATGAGACTTGTGTATTTTATTGTTTTTAAGAATACTATTCCTTTATCATATCATATTACATTCTACTCCCAAACAATAAAAATATATTAAGAAATGAAATGCAGACTACAGACTAGGAAAAA